ATATATACATATATATATATATATTAAAAAGTATTTAAACAAAAAATGTATATAACAAAAAATGGCCCTGACTATTTTTGACGGTTTGGGAATATACCTGCGTCATCACCCCCCTCCTGGCCGCCCCCGACGCATACCCCGATGGACCTCGCGCCGGGCGCGCCCAGCCCCGGCCTCGGCGCGGGGCGGCGAGCGGCGGCGTGCACCTGGCCAGAAAGGGGGGGGGAGGCGCCGCGGGCGCCCGAGGGCCTGCGGTGGCGGGGGCGCACCGACCAGGGTCGATGCACAGCCGGGTAAGTCGGGTCGGGCGAAAGGGGGGGATAGCAAAGGGGGGGGTTGAGAATCAGCTCACGTAGCTGATTTTCCCGGCGCCTCCCGGCGCCGGAGGCGGCTATGTATCGAGGAATGAGCCCCTCGGCGAGGCCGAAACCAGCTGCATGCAGCAAATTTCGTAAGCCCCCCTTTCCCAATCCCCCCCTTTCGTCCGGCCCGAGTAGGGTGAGGAAAAAATCGTGTGAGGATACATCGAGAATCTCTGAGACCCGGCGGTTTGGGAGACTGCCTCGAGCGCCGCGGCATCCTCAACGCGTTCCAGAGCGCGCCCGACCGGGCCAGTCGGGCCTTGCAGGATCCTGCAGGATCCTGCAGGATCCTGCAGGAGCCTGCTCCTAAACCCGGGTCAAGGCACCGTTGGCTCTGCAGGATCCAACTAGATTTGGCGCCCTGGCTGACCCCCGTTTGCATCGACCCCCGTCTCCTGAACCCCAGCGGCGCCCTGCGCTGGAGAAGCCAAAAAGGGGGCGCGAAGCACGGCCACGAGAGGAGGGCGCTGCAAGGGGCGCCTGGGCACCGCGGGCGCGACTGGTCGGGGTCAGCCAGGGCCCCTGGGCCTTGGCACGGCGCACGCCTTCGGCGAACACACTAAGTAAGAAGAAAAAGAAAACATAAAGTAGAAAGGCGAATCAAGTAGGTTGCGCTCAAGCCTTCCCAGATAAAAACAAAGAATAACAAATCAAGGGCAGCAGCGTGGAATGGGGATTCCCCGCTGCAATGTCCCGGCGGACAACCACGGGTCACGCCCGGAGGCCGCGAAAAGGACATCCACCTCCACGCCCATATCCTCCTTGACGTCCACCACCTCATCGTCCTCCGTCCTCCGCAAAAAGCACCTGCTCGTGCACTTTCTCAAGCAGCACCACCCTGGCATCCCCCTCCCCATCGTCCTTTTCCTCCTGGCCATCCTGGTCCTCCTCCTCCTCCTCCTCGCCCTGCGGCTCTTCCTCCTCCTCCTCCTCATCCTCCTCGTCCGGTTGTTCCTCCTCCTCCTCCCTTACCTACTGTGTACATAGATATGCATATATATATATACACACACATACATACATACATACATACATACATACATACATACATACATGCATGCATACATACATACATACATACATACATATAAATAAACATACACATATATATAGAGAGAGGGGGGGGGAACAACAACACAAAATAGCAACAACCACAACCAAACCAAAAAAAAAAAAAAAAAAAAAAACACCGACTGAGAGAGATAGAAACATATAGAAAAAAAGAGAGAGACAAAGAGAGAGAGAGAGAGACGGAGAAAGAGAGAGAGAGAGAGAGGAAGCCCGAGAAAGGGAAAGAGAACGAGAGAGAAGGAGAAAGAAAGAGAGAAAAAGAGAGAAAAGGAGAGACAGAGAGAAAGAAAACGAACCAATGCAACAGAGAGAGAGAGAGAAAGAGGGAGAGAGAGGGGCGAGGAAGAGAGAGAGAGAGAAGGCAAGCGAAAGAAAAAAATAGGGAGGGAAAGAATAAGAGAGAGAACGATTGAATATACATATGTACGTAAAGCGGCAGTGAGGGACAGAGAGAGAGGGGCGGAAACGAGAGAGAGAGAGAATAATGGAAAAATGAAAGTGATAGAGAAAGACAGAGAAAGATAAAGAGCGCGAGAAAGAGAGAGAGAGAGGGAGAGAGAAAGAGAGAGAGAGGGTGAGGAGACAAAAAGAAAGAGAGACAGAGAGAGAGAGAGATCGGACAAATAAACGGGAGCCACGTCGACAGCCGGCTACTTCGGCTGCCGAGGCCGCCATCGCACTCTTGGCGGCGGCACGCACCCTGGGGAACGGGGGACGCTGGGAAAGAAACGCCCTCTGGGGCTAAGCGACTGACGCAAGAGCCGGGGCGCCGAGCAGGCGACGCGCCAAATCTCTCGGCGCCCCGCGCGGGGCGGGGGCCCAGGCCGGCGAGGCCCCGGCGGGCGGCCGGGGGGCTAAAAAGGCTTGACCGCCGAGCGGCCTGCGAACGACGGGGCGCCCCCCGCCGCGGCAGCCAGGCCCCGACGACGCGCGGCCGCGCGGGCAATCGGGCCGGCGAGAAGCGGGGCCCGCGGCCGCGGTGGAAGCCCTACGCGGGCACGCGCGGCACCGAGAAGGTCAGGCGGCGCCGGGGCGGGCGACGCCCCGGCGAGCGGAGCCGAGGGTCG